AAGAACCTCATGTTTGGTGATTAAAACAGTACAAGGAGATTAGGCTCCATGGCTGCTATAGCAATGCAAGAATCCACGTTGTGATTAGGCTCTATGGCCGTCGCAGGCAGCGCAAGAACCTTATTTTTGGTGATTAAGCACCGCAACTATGATAACAGTGCAAGGGCCTCACGTTGTGGCTAGGTTCCGTAGCTGCGACAAATTAATCAAAATTCAATTAAATAGAAACCAACGATAACATTTTTATACTTACTGAATATGGTTAAATGTATTGCATAGCTTAAAAATTTTTGAAACAAAAGAAGCTTTTTGATTCGCTTAGAGAACTAACTTGTTCAGTATGTTCAGGCCTATTTACATGTAAACATTTAACTATTGTCACTGTAAAAGAAATATGCTTTTTTATATAATCTACCCTAATCCATACCTTATTAAAAAAAACAATAACGCTTTCCTGCTAAACACATGTAATATAGTCCATGTATTTTATATCAATTTTGTTATATCTACAATTTACAAATTAGAAGAATAGAAACCTATAAAATACAGAACAATTGACAAAGTACAAAGTGAAAAATTTTATTTAACAGGCACACGATCTGTCATGCAGATCACAGATAAATTTTTTACTATGAAATAAAACTTTTTTATAATTAAAAATTATTAACGTTAAGCATACTTAAATACAAATACATACGAGCAGTATTATAGTACAAGTCACTCGAATTATGTGAAATCTTGATATAGTGAATGTTAATAAATCTCAATAAAGTGAAGTTGGACTCAAAGCCAGTCTATGTAAAGTTCTCTCGATACTGAAATTAGGAATAAAGCTCTTGATATAGTGAATTTAAAAAATTAGTAGTAACTTGAACCGATCATTTCACTATAACGAATTTGAACTGGTGTCGATAAAAATAAGCATTGTATATAATAAAAACTTTATGCAACTCAATGAACATAAAATTTTAAATAGAAAAACAAAAACGTACCTCTATGAAGAGTTTACCATATATTTGGCAAACATGTAAATCATTATTCCTATCAAGGTAATTTATTACAATCTATTAGAAGAATTAATTAACTTATGCAGATCGATCTTTAGAATTATCAAAATTTAGAATTACATAGTTTACACAGCCTTGTGCCACTGTAATGACAATGTGATAATCAACTTAAGATTAGCACAAAGGTTCAATCGAACAAATAAGCGAGTATAAGCAAGATTTTATTTGATATACAAGGGGGGGGGGGGGGAACAAAATAGTGTGGGCAAATGTTTACTTTTATTGAAGAAATTTACATGAAATATGATCTTTTTATTATTATTTTATATTAAGTTTTTTGATTTTTTGCACAAGTATTTATATAAGTGATTTAGAAAATAAACATAGTAAAATAAAAATCATAAAAAAAAAATAAGAAAATTTTTTTATGTTACAGATAAAAAAAAAATCTAATCTATTAGAAATCAGAAATTAGTGATCAAATAAATATAACAGAGCAAATGTTCTTGCATAAATTAACACTACAAGATGAGATTCACGTGACTGATAAAAAATTATAAATACAACCCGAATTTGATAAAAAAATTTTGGGGGTATGTTTAGAACATTCAGGACGATCAGAACAGAACAATCAGAACATATAAAATTTTTATATGAGAATCTCTTCTGTTTTAGTCTAAAAGAAAATGTGGCAGATCACAAGTAAGATTGCAACCAATAAATAAGATGTCTAATGCTAATCATAAACTTTATTAGAAATGATCAGCTACATGCCGACAAAGAAAGATTAGAGAGGGTTAATTAGTCACGGGACTGACAATTTTTACGCCATCACTATTTCACCCTTTTCCGCTTGTGTAATGCAGGCCGGCTGTTACAGCTGTTTTCATAAATTTTGGGACATCTGGTAAAAGATTGACCGAATGATTATTTGGCTGATTCAATAGGTTTTTGATTCGGCATAGATTTGTGATTGTGATAATGATATATATATTTTTACAAATTATTCTGAAATGTCAACACATCCAAAATCAAGATTGCTCTTGAATGCATATCCATTCTTGCCAATCAACAATTTTGACAAAAAACATAAAAAGTGTTCTGAATATAAGATAAGTTTTCATAATAAATATATAAAAAAGTTTTGATATTTATTGATTGTACTAAAGAAAATACAATTCAAATTATAATTCCAACTAATAAAATTATAATAAAATCTAAATTAATAATACAGAATTACATAGAATTAATAAATGATCGATTGAAAAAATTCCTAAAACTATTATATGTAAAGATGAGGAAAAGTTTTATAAAATAAAAGCTAAAGATTGATTGGATATTGAACCCAAGTTACACCTTACATCTTAATTGAATTTAAATAATCACATTTTAAAAGTGATCAAACTTATATGTAACCAGATTCATTAAATACTGTACCCAAATTATTTCTTTGAATTACTCGAATAAAAAATCGTAATTTTGCAAGTTTCATATTAATCGAAACAAATACTCAAGCTTACAGTTGATCAAAATTTAAGAAACACTACGTGCATGAGTTTCAATTTTTATCATCAGCAAAAAAATGCTTCATATAACAATTATAATTACACATTTAATATAATTGCATCATATCAAGATCAAGATCGCACATTGTCGAATCTATTATATGAATACAGCAATAATTAATTATTAGAATGAAACAATAAATGAATAATTTATAACTTTTCTAACAAATTTCTAAAATTACCTTTATATTTAGCTGATTCATATAATTTAGTTGATTCGTACGCTAGTTTAACTTCTTTAGTTTTTATTGGTTTACTAGTATACATTGAGCTTTGATAATTTGGTAAGATAATTTGATTTGTTTTGATCTCTTCATTAGCAGAAATAAAACTTCTTTTAATATCGGATTCTTCACAAGTTATTGAATAATTCATCACAATCAAGCGCCATTCTGAAACTTTTGAACCAATATCTTTAGCATTAGGTCGGTTATGTGGATTGGAATCCATGCATTTCTTGGCTAATTCAATATAACATTCGGGTGTTCTTTTAGAAAACTTAGGTCGTAATCCCTTACAAATGTTCACTGCAAGTCCATAGTCGAAAGGAGAATCACAAAAAGGCCTTTTTCCGGTTGACAATTCTGTCATAATAATACCTAGACTATATATATCAGCTGCTTTTGTATATTCTCCACCTAATAAAACTTCTGGTGCAATATATGGCATAACTCCATAAACTTCACCTTTTGAAGCTGATTCTTTCAGATTTTTAGATAATCCTAGATCGGTAACAAAAGACTTTGTAAAAGTAGCTTGGTATTGATTTAACAAAATATTACCACTATGGAAATCACAATGAACATATTCTGATTCATGAATTCTGGCCAGATCATTTGATATATTTATGAGATACATCAATTTGCTTTTCCAGTCGAGTTCTTTAAAATTTGATGTTAAAAAATCGTACATGTTTCCCTTATTGGCATACTGAAATACCATATATATCTGAGACTCTCGATCTTGTGTTATTCCATATATCTCAAGTCCAATACCATTCCATCTACATTTAACGTGATTTTCGAACTTATTAAATTAGACATATAATTATAAATGTTAGAATAATTGAGCACATATAATAGATTTTTTTTTTTATGCATTGTAAAAAGTAGTGATGTTATGCAATTTACGGATTTCAAAGTAAATAAGGTTTAAGTAGTACATAGCAGGGATGATAAATCAAATTACCTTCAAATTACCTCAAATGACCCCAATTTTATTGTGAATTTTAGTTCGAAATGACATAGGTCATTTGAAAAAAAGACAAATGGCCTCAAATTTCACCATCCCTGGTACACATTGGCTCTCGATATAACGGAGGCTATGGTTCCAGTCCTTTGCTTCGCTATATTAAAATCTTCATAATGTTAAGATCTTATGATATATCAAAATAATAATTTGGTTCCATTATAATTCTCCGTATTAAGCATGTCCGCTATATTGAGAGCCACTAAAAAAAAACCTACGAAAGTATCTAGCTAGATCAACCTAATAATCAGATTCAACTATCTTATAAATTAAACATTACGATATTGTAAGTATGGATACTTAAACCATATACCGTTTGCCACTGTATACAGTACCCAGGGTCTTATTCAAGAACTCCTGTGTAATATTTTATTAAAAATAAATCAATATAGCTATACCCCGAGCAGTGAATAAAATTCGATGTGCGCATGTGCGATCCGCATATAGAAAATTTTTTGTGCACAAAAAAAAATATAATGCTGTGCGCAAAGCACACGCAACTTTTTAATAATTATTTAAAATAATGTGCGCTATACAGTTAGCCTTGTTATACTGAATCGAGCTTTGCGCACATTGAATCTAAAATTTGGTGCGCGTTGCGCACCAAATTTTGACTTTGAATTTTATCCCTGACCCAGAGTCTTATTCAAGAAAAAGGATGGTGGTGGTGAATAATACCCAGGTCTTAATCATGGGGATATTATTTTGGGGATACTGTATACAGTAATGTTGAAATTGGATTGTTATTGTATTTGAATCCGAAATTTTCTTGCAATTATCACAAAAATCATTCAAAGTACTATAACAGCATTAAACTTACCTCTTTTAAAGTTCTAATAGTTTTAAGTGCGACTTTGCATGATTGATCACGCGCTTGTATTCTATTTTTAATTATTGGCTTGCCATCTATCCAAATTGCAGAGTATATCGTACTAAATCCACCTTTACCAATTAATTTAAGATCAACTAGTCTGTCAAATGGAATCCATTCAATTAAATTTTCATATCGTTTAGTTTTGATTTGGAGCTCTTTTACTTCATCATCGATTTCTTTATTTCCACTCGTCCATCCTTGATGCATTCTCTGTGGATCACATAATTGACACCAGGCTTTCGAAGAGTTATCCTGTCCACAATTTGCACATTTATCTAAAAATTTACATTTTTTCAAATCTTTATTTGATTCTTCATATCTATTCATCATGCAATAAGTTTCCCCACGGTTCCTTAATGCAAATGCGTTATTTGGTTCAATTTCTAATGATTTATTTAAATCTTCAAGCGATTCTTTGTACCTTTTCATCATGCGATGGGTTGCTCCACGGTTTCTTAATGCCTCTGCATTATTTGGTTGAATTTTTAATGATTCATTTAAATTTAAAATTGATTCTTCATATCTATTCATAATGCGATAAGTTTCTCCACGAATGCTTAATGCTTTCGCATTATTTGGTTCAATTTCTAATGATTTATTTAAATCTGTAAGTGAATCTTCATATCTATTCATCATGCGATAAGTTGCTCCACGGTATCTTAATGCTTCTGCATTATTTGGTTTTATCTTTAATGATTTATTTAAATCTGTGAGTGATTCTTCATATCTATTCATCATACGATATGTTTCTCCACGTTCAATTAATGTAAATGCATTACTTGGTTCAATTTCTAATGATTTATTTAAATCTGAAAGTGATTCTTCATATCTATTCATCATGCGATAAGCTTCTCCACGAATTTTTAATGCAAATGCATTATCTGGTCTAATTTTTAATGATTTATTTAAATTTCTAAGTGTTTGTTCACGATTTCTTAATGCTGCTGCATTATTTGGTTTGATTTTTAATGATTTATTTAAATCTGCAAGGGCTTCTTCATATCTATTCATCATATAATAAGTTGCTCCACGAATTCTTAATGCCTCAGCATTATATGGTTCAATTTCTAATGATTTATCTAAATCTGCAAATGATTCTTCATATCTATCTAATTGATAATATAGTTTCCCACGGATTCTTAACACGTCAGCATCATTTGGCTTAATTTCTAATGATTTATTTAAATCTGTGAGTGAATCTTCATATCTATTCATTACACGATAAGTTTCTCCACGGTTTTTTAATGCTTCTGCATTATTTGGTTCAATTTTTAATGATTTATTTAAGTCTGCTAATGATTTTTTATATCTATCCATCATTCGGTAAGTTACTCCGCGGTTTTTTAATGCTTCTGCATTATTTGGCTCAATTTTTAATGATTTATTTAAATCCGCAAGTGATTCTTCATATTTATTCATCATGCGATAAGTTTCTCCACGAAAGCTTAATATAAATGCATCATTTGGTTCAATTTCTAATGATTTATTTAAATCTGCAAGTGATTCTTCATATCTATTCATCATGCGATAAGTTTCTCCACGTAAACTTAATATAAATGCATCATTTGGTTCAATTTCTAATGATTTATTTAAATCTGCAAGTGATTCTTTATATCTATTCATCAAATGATAAGTTGCTCCACGGGAGCTTAATGCACATGCATTATTTGGCTTAATTTCTAATAATTCATTTAAATCTTCGAGTGATTCTTCATATCTTCCCATTATGCGATAAGTTTCTCCACGATTTTTTAATGCCCACGCATTATTTGGTTCAATTTCTAATGATTTATTAAAATCTGTAAGTGATTCTTTATATCTGTATAACTGATAATATGTTCTTCCACGATTTCTTAATGTCCAAGCATCATTTGGTTCAATTTCTAATGATTTATTTAAATCTGCAAGTGATTCTTCATATCTATTCATCATGCGATAAGT